TCCTTTCCTTCTTCTGGGTCATCATCAGGGGAAAGTAAAGGAATTCGTGGACTTAAACCTGATTCCTTCATCTTTATTCAAAAAAAAACAAAAATAAATAATGTTTTCCTTCCTTTTTTCTCCTTTTTATACACATACACATACACATACACACACACACCAACTATTCAGGTATGTTACACCAAAGAGAGAGGTGCCTATACACCTGAAAAAGTAGAAACATGAAAAAAAATAAAAAATGATTTCAAGAGTTTATTCTTTATTTATTAAATAAAATATTACAAATTATTCATAAATTCAATGAATTATTTCTATTTTATTCTTCTTTTCCCTCTTTTTTTCTCTTTATTCAATATATAAGAAGAACAACAACAAACAAACAGCCGGCCGATGACGATGACGGACGACCAATGGACTAAATATAATATACACACCTAGAAGGAAATCCTCAGGTGTACAGGCAGCATAATATTTATATTATCTTATTTTATTTTTTATTTATATTATTTTATTTATATATTATTATTCATATTTAAATATATTAATTATGTCTTTGTATTATTTATATCATTTGTTCGCTCTTTTCCTCTAGACAGCCCTCGCTGCCGCTGCCGGCTGCTACTGCTGCAGCAGCAACAGCAGCAGCAGCGGGCAGCAGCAGAAAAATAATTAAACTTTAGGGTTTAAGTATGATAATTATTAAATTTATGATTTTATTTTATAATAATTCATTTTATTCAATTATTTAGCGATTTAATTCATAAATATTCATATTCTTATAAGAATGATTATATATATGGGGAGGTGAACATACACCCCAATAGGTGTGCGGGTGTACATGCAACTAAAATTAAAATAAATAAGGGAAATAAAACAATAAAAATAAATAAAATTATACATTAAATTATTTATATCATTTAATTTAATGTCTTCTTTATATTTATTTCTCTCTAAGCGCATGCATAAATCATGACACAGGTATAGTGTGTATTATATTATATATATACATATATACTACCAGGTGTATATACACCTCATTGTTTATTTATTTAATTTAATTATTTAATGCATTTGTTTGTTCTTTTTTTCTCTATTTATTAATTAAAAAGGTAAACTAAAGAAATAAAAGGAGAGAAATAAAAAAAATAATTGTTAATTATACATTTCTGTTTTTTTTTTTTATTCTTTTCTTTATCTTTTATTTATTCCCTTGTAGTCTTATAACCAATTGCTGCATGCATCTATCTCGTCCTAAGAATGATAAACCCTAAACCCTAAACCCTAAACCCTAAACCCTAATAAAACACTTTAAATATAAACAATTAATTCTTTTCTTCTTTTTCTCTTTTACTTTTTGTTTCTTCTTTCTCCTCTATTTACTGTTGCTGTCTGTACGCCGCAAGAATCCTCCTACATGCTTTGGTCTCTAGGGACCCTAAACCCTAAACCCTAAACCCTAAACCCTAAACCCTTAGGGTTTAGGGTTTCCTTCCTGTGCAAGGTTTTTGGATTCCTCCTGCTAGTATTTAGTAAAGAAAAATTATTTCTTTTTTTTTCTTTATTAATTAAGAATAATTAATT